AAAACAAATTCCCTTGTATATATATGGTGCACTGCCACGTGTAAGATATAAATTATTTTTTTAAATTGTGGGCAGTTGGCAAGATTTGGGTCAAGTTTCTGTTTCAACTATTTTGATCCATATCTCTTTCCCTACTCCCACACGTTTCTTCATTTTTTTTTATATAGATATTTTTATTATATCATATGAAAACAATAGCTTTCATTCACTTCACTGTAATATTATTGCATGATAAGGCAGAAAGAAAAGAAAAGATAGTTGCAACGTGATTTTGGGTTTTCTTATTCCAAGAAATTGTTGGAGCGTGAACTTTTTTTGACTTCCAAAATTTAAGCAATTTAACAAGGTAGGATATGAGGTGCAGTATTTTTTTTTAATTTCCCGTTTAATTATTTTGGCTACATGTGGACGAATTTCATATTTATGAAAGTTATGATATTAATGCTATGATATGAATGATATGGCCATTCCGGTACAATGAAATGATATGATATGATGTGAGCTCTTACCGGATTTAAAGTTATGCGACGGTATGGTATTCTGACACTCGTGTTAAAATTATTTTTCGGGATCGCACCATTAATGTAATATCTTACTGAGTATTCCCATGTACTCACCCTTTTCCTACACCTCACAGGTTAGATCGGGTCCTGTTGGAGCGTGGTGGTTCGATGCATGGTTGTGCCTCATTTGCTGGACGAGAATTTATAATTTTAACAAGTAATTTTAGTTCATTGCCATAGACATCCTATTTTAAAGATTAAGTTATCAATTATGTTTATTGGCTATATGGATGTTTTTTTTGTTTAATTCATTTTAAATAGAGCTCGAACTATATGTTACTGCTTTTATCGATTTTAATGGTTAAAAGAAAATTGATTAACTGTCAAGTTCACATCAAAGACTTTTGCATTTTTCTAAGGCATCTACAACCTTTTCAAGATTTATAATATGCATGGCCAAAACAATGATTCTGTACTTCACACCAAATTTTCAATTGTCTGCCTACCACAGTTAACTTTATGCAGTGGAGTTGTATTATTCATTTGTACTTTGAATTGGATTTTATGATAAAAATATTCATAACCCATATTCACTAATCATGCTAGTATAAAAGATGTTAAATACGGTCAAATGTCATTTCATTTTAAGATGATAATTTAAAATTTATTAATCACGTGGTTTCAAATTTATTAATCATGTGGTTTCCAATAAATTTGATCCTTTTATAATAAAGTTGGTAGCGACTAAAATAAAAAATAATAATAATAATAATAAAATAAAATAAAATAAAAATTTGGGTCGTTACAATATTATTCTAAATTCGACTGTAAATAAGAATTTTGACAAATAAAAATGGAAGAAGATAGTATAAATATACTGCATTTAGTACACCTCACGGAAAATATAAATGGTTAGTAATATCACTTGGATTAAAAAATGTACCACAAATTTATCAAAGAAAAATGGTTAATATATTTAAAAAGTTTAATAAATTTCTAATTGTTTATATTAATGATATACGGATATGTTCTAACAGTAAATAAGAACATATGAATCATTTAATACAATTTATAAATGAATGTAAAAATGAAGGAATTGTACTTTCTAAAAAGAAATTTATAATGGAAAAACAAAAAATAGATTTTCTTGGATTATCAATAGATAAAAAAGTAATAAAATTACAGACTCATATATCTAAAAAGATAGAAAGTTTTCCAAATAAATTAGAATCCAAAAAACAAATACAAAATTTTTTAGGATGTTTAAATTATGCAGAAGGTTTTATCGAAAATCTTTCTAAGAAAATGCATAAAATACAAATTTTACTTAAAAAAAAATACTAAAACGATAGAATGAAAAACATACAGAAATAGTTAAATCATTAAAAGAAGAATATAAAAATTTATCAAAATTAAGATTATCAGATGAAAAAGATAATTTGATCGTTAATACTGATGTCTCAGATAAATATTGAGCAGCAATATTAAAAACAGATTTAAATGAAATTTGTGGATATTCAAGTGGAACTTTTAATCAAGCAGAAATAAATTATACCACTTATGAGAAAAAATTATTAGCAATTATTAGAGGAATAAAAAAGTTCTCATTATTTTTTGTATCTAAGAAATTTATTGTTGAAACTGATAATTCTCAAGTTGCAGGTTAAGTCAAGAATAAATTACCATCAGAATCTCAATACAAAAGCTCCATAAATGACAAACTTATTTAGCATTTTATAATTTTGATATAATTCATATTAAAGGAGTTAATAATTTTCTTGCAAATTTTCTCAGCAGAAACATAGAATTTACTGATGGATAAAGTTAAGGTCATGAAGTTATACCAATCTATCTTACATATACAAAAAATGACAAATTTTCTTAAAGAAGAATTTGAAGATATTCATACTGGAACAACATATATCTCAGAGATGTTCAACTCAAATATAAAAATATTGTTGAATATCACAACTGAGCATCATAAAGAGGTCGTTGAACTCAAAAATCAAGTTGATGCTACTACAGTACAACTAAAATATATACTGTCTGAGACAGATATACCAAAGAGTTCATAAATGAGTTTTTCAAATCAATACAAATAGGGACAGCTGGAAGCAGCAGTAGACGCAGACGTGACAATATACCAATTAATAAAAAAGCAGATTCCATTTCAGTAACACCAACCAAAAAGTGGTGATACATGGAGATAAAAGAGATTCCAAAATTATCAACATTATAGACCAAGATGATACAATCCCTTTGGATCCAAAAGAAAAAGAGTACGCTAAAATAGTCAGAATTGCTTATGAAATAAAAATAAGTTATTCATATTTCATCTCTCCGGGAAATAATATTTATCCCAGAATAACAGTTATGGAAAGATAAGACCCTTTGTTTATAAAAATTATGCCAGACTATGAATTTATGGATCTGATATATCCAGAAAAAGATTTGATTGAAATTTCAAAATTTGATGATATATTCATAAAAGAAGTATCAAGATCTGCCAAGGGATGAATAATATATTTGAAATTTTATTCAATAAGTCTTGAATATGATAGAGTTGTTTACTATCCAGTTGAACACATAATCTCAATTAGATATGTTGCAGCCAATTTCCAAATAGATGTGGAAAATGATAGAAAAGTTTCAACAGTAACAAAGTCATGGATCAGACATAGAAGAAAACTTGAAATTAAAGTCATATACAATATTACTAAAAATTTGTTTGATAAAAAATTTTCATGCTTGTGCTAATATGAAAACTGGATGCTGGTATCAAATGGAGGACATGGAAAATCAGAAATCTTGAAAGACTGCATTACAAGATTTGAAATACATCAATTTTCAGGATGTCCTACCATTATAAAAGAATCCTGCCGCATGTAAAGACATAAGAGATGATGGCAATAATAGAAAAAGATGCTCTTTGGATAAAAAAGTTGAAAAAGCATGTGGAGATAAAGAAAAGGAGGACAATAATGGAGCTCCTTTAATAAAAATCAGACGCTGCATATAAAGATGTAAGTCCAAGGAGGACAATAATAGAAAGACAATCGTGCCTTTGCTGATGCATTGAATGATGTAATAGAGCCTCATATATCTGTATAAATAGAGACAATGTAATAGAGGAAAATCATCTTGAAATCTCAAATTGTAATCAATAGTCACTCCTAAGCTATATTTAATTTGAAAAACCAGTTTTTCTGGAAATCCTTGTATACCAAATAGAAATCTTGTAAAAGTTCTAATAGAAATAAAATTCCAATTATTTGATATCAATATGAGTTTTTAAATCTTTATTCCCAACGATTCTTGAAGGATCTAATAGAAAGTTTCCTTTTTATTTTAGCGAAGAGAGAGTTTTTCTTTTACAGAAGTCTAGAATTTATTTTTTAAGATTGATGCAATGAGAGCAAGAAGCTGAAATTGTAAAGATTCCGTAAAGGCAGGAGGTCGTTGAAGGAAGCAGTTTATATATTCAGAGCTCAAAAATTACTCGGTTCTAAGAATAAAGATCCAGTTCAAACCTAAGGTAAAACTATTAAATTTTTGCTAAAATTAGAATGAATCTTCTTAGATCTTAGAGAATCAAAGGGATTGATTGCATGATTTGATGATTATTTGTATGATTAAATACCAGGAGTTACAATTAAATGATTAGATAATTTATTAGAAAGAATGTTAGAAAAAATAAAAGATATTTATTCCCAATTAGAAAATATGAATGCATCTTCTAAAGAATATAATATTTTAAATAATAAATGTGAACAATATGTTACAGATTATTCTAATTTATTAGATCATAGAATGAAATTATATTAAAAAAATTCAAAATAAAATATAGTTTGGGATATATGTTGTGATATAGAAAGAATCATTTCATTAAGGGCAATATAGATTTTTTCATAAAAATGAAAAAAATAGGCCAAATAGAAAATCCCCCACTTATGACAAAGTAAATAATTAGCAATGCTTCAACTATAATGAATTTGACAACATTATTGACAACATATCACATGACATGTTGTCATTGGACAATTTAAAAAACAATCCATTTTTTCAATCAATACTTTTTTGCACACCCATCATTGTCAAGAATGTTGTACAAAATTATTATACAAATAGATTAATTGGTAAATAATATTCTCTTTTTGTTTTGTTGTATTAAAGTGTATAATTTAGATAAATTTTTTATTAAAAGCAAGTATAAGTAGCGAGTTTTCTCACCCTTTTTATTGGTCATGTAAACGCTAAACATGTCAACAAATTTGATTGAAAAGTTTGTGTGTTAGAGATGTATTGGAAGAGAAAGGTAAAGACTCAAATAAAATTGATGTCGTAATTTTCTTCCAATCAATTCTTAGCTTAAATGGGATATGATTAAGACTCAAATAATTTATACCATAATTTATATTTCAATATGCCAAACTTAATTGCTAATAAAGTTGATCATTCGTGTTTGGCTAAACCTTTTACTTATAAGTAAATAAGAAACTTTTGGAAAAAAGGGGCTCTTCTTACTAGTCTATTTTGAAATAGAACTTCAAAATACTTTCAGAAGTAATTTTACAGGGGAAAGAATGGCAGAATCCGACAATCTTGAAGCAACAATGAAACCATTCTATCAAAGAGCTTCCGAGGCAGAGGTATGAATTTCACCCTTTCTACTCTCCATTCGTATAACCACAATACATTTATGTGCTGTGTTTTTGTGAATTATCTGGACCCTAGTTCCTAAAATATTGAAATTTTAGCTACTTTCCTTAGTTAAATCGACAATATTTTACCGTAAACATTCGGGGTTTGTGCTGAATTTGTACTGTCTGATGTGCTGAATTTCAGCACATCCCAGAAACCCTAAATCGTCAAGATTTTACCCTCCGATTTGCCGTAGTATTATGCTGATATTAAAAGTTTTCCCTTTTTGTGAATAATAACGTAAAATTGGATTAGCCCTCATTCTCACATTGATATATCTGAATGGATGGTATGTTATGTTTTCACATATATTAAGGAAATGGATACAAAGTTGGATTACTCAATTTCTCTCTCTTAAACTTGCCTGCTTGGCCGTTCATTCTCCTGATTCTTTTGAAGAAATCAATGTTTGTTTTCTGGCTTTTGAAGTTAAATAACTTTTTTTTCCTGACGAAGGATCGATTGGCAAGACTTGAAGCTGCCCTTTCTGAAAAGAAAGGTTTGTTCAAGAAAGCTTTTTTGTTACTCATGCATACTTCAAAATAAGGTTTTCTCGTAATTTCATTTTTTTTTTACCATTGAAATGGTGATCTTTAGAATCTGGAAATGAGGAATTACTTAAGAGAGTTAGTGAACTCCAGTCAGAGCTTGAAAATGTAAAAGCTGAGCAAGTTGCAGAGAGGCAGAAGGTATGTTAATGTATCCAAGTTTAGTGAATAAGTTGTAATAGAATTCGTAATAACTGGGCTCGCTATTTGTAACTCAGGCTACAAAAGAGCTGGAGCAGCTTACTGCTGAAAATGAAAAGCTCAAATATCGCATTACCCATCTCATCCGAGCTGTGAAGGAGGATGGTAGCAAGTTATCATCCAAGTGAGGTACGATAACTTCACAACAGCTGTACAGTTTTTTGAGGAAGAAAGATTTTCATTAAGCATCGGAATGCTCAAATCCCCCTTTGTTGTCTATCTTTCGTGTTTTCTTGTGCGATTTAACGTTCCCTTCTTTTCTCCATACTGTATCGGGTACTATAAACTGTTTATGAAGAAATTTAAAGCAGGATTCAACAATTTTCTTTTGGAAACAACTGCTTTATTCAGTGTTGGTATTACATGAGAGTGATTTATTATTTACTGAAGCATCAGTAAAATTTCTGCAATGCATTTGGTTCTTCCATGAAGGCTTTTATTGCTTCAGTGCAAACTGTGTTGGTTGACCTTAAAATTTTCAAAATTGATTCCGTGTGTAGAGTTTAACTTTCCATATGTGATCAATTTGACCTTCACCCTCTTAAAATGATTAGACTTTCTTCGGGGCATTGTCTTAAAAGTTCTTTCCATTCAAACATCGATCTCAACCAACTAGGAGTATATCAGTCTACTGAGTTTGTTCAAACTTCTAGGTTTTTTCTGATTTTGAACATTTAAATACGTTGTTTAGTGCTGATCTTTTTATCTTTCCCTCTCCTTTGTGCTAGGGTTACCAGTTTTTTCTTTCGAATTTCACAGGGTCTTTGTCATCTTGTTTCTCCTGCCATGACCAGCTGACACCATCCCGTTCCAAAGCCTGTATTTTTTTTTTTTTTAGAGAATCTCTTAATTGTTTCAAAACAATTAGAAAGAGATTCTAGTGATAATGATGCCTTCTAATGTGGGGTTCGAAACAGAAACTAAGCTCATGATTGGCCCCCCATTTTCTCAAATTCATTTTCTACCACATATTTATGGGCTGCAACTTTTCAATTACTCTTTTTATCAACTTTATCAAAATCTGCTAAAAATATCATATCTAGCAAAACAAAACAGGGGCTAAATTAGGGCTGTCAATGGATTGGATTTTGATCCGAATCCGATGAAATTAACGGGAGATGGATTTAAGGTTTCAATCCGATAATCCGATTAAGATTCGAATTCGATAATCCGTTAACTAAATAGAGCAAATATGGATATATGTCGATTCGATACGATAACAATCCGATCCGATTTATTATAATAATATTATATATTTTATATATTATATCATAATTTATTAAATATAATTTTTTCCATTTTGAAACTTATATTATGCTTTACGCATAATTTTTCAATAATTAATAATATTATCTAGTATAATATTTTTACTTGAAATATTCAAAGAGGTTTAATTTTTTATTAATTAAAATAAGATAAAAATAACTATAGTAATTTGTTTATAACATCAAAAACTAATAATTAATATGTCCAAAAATAATTTACTTTGTTAAAATTGATATTGTTTTTTATTTTAATTTTGTTAATACTATGATTTTTAGTGAAAATAATAAAATAAACTAGTAAACACTTAGAATTGACAATTGAGTAGTATCTCACATTGAAAGACCACTAAAACATTAGAAGAGAAGTACCCTTTAAAAATGTAGTGTCCCACATAGGAAGATTATTAAAACATTCCAAAAAAAATCTTCTTTAAAAGGAATTAAAGGAGCATCACTTGGATAAAAAATTGATTTGGGCCTTCTAGTATATTAGGTGAGCTCGTCAAGATAGTTAAAATATTTTTTTTTGGGAAAAAATTGGTGGAAAAGCACTTGTCAAGAAGTATCAACTTCATTTTATCCCTTCACTCTCTCTCAGGTTATTGCATCCACGGCCAAGCACTTGTCAAAGAAGGAAAGGTAGTTTAAACAATTCCCGATCATGAGAGAATCGTATGCATTCATCATGGCTGGTTTCAATGCAAGAACGTGATTTATGTTGGAATGCCTTTCATAGTCTGTATCAGTATTCCGCATCTTTTGTGAACAGAATCAGTAGCTTTTGAATAAGAGCCGCTTAAGCACAGAAGCTGAAAACACTTCACTTCCCAAGTAGACGTTCACTTCATTTTTTTAAGGTAGACATTTAAGTATGGACATATTCACCTCAGTATTCTGCATCTTTTTGCTAGTTATACGATGTACAAATTATTATTATTATTATTATTATTTATTTATTTTCACAACCATTGCAAAATTTATAACCGAGATTGTTTTCATATTTGGGATACCAAATAGATATATTAAAACGAAATTATAAATTCAACTTTAGATATCATGAGTGTGTAATCCATTTTGTTTCGCAAACACTGTTTGGAATTGTTATAAAACTGAAACAAGAGCTAGAAGCCAAGGTGCGCGAAGATGTCACTCGGAATAATGACGACTTTCTCCAAATAGCCCAGTTATATGAGTTGAATAAGCTAAGTTTTTCGAGGCAAAAAAAAAAAAAAAATGGTTCCTCTGCTCTCTAACCTGTAAGTCCATCAAAATCCTGCA